TTAACATGACACGACAACCTGGTCTGGGTCAAATATACACAACGTCTCCTATTTCAGCCATTCAGGCTCTAACTTCGAGATTCCAGATGCGTCTCACAATCACCCATCTCCGACCCATCGGCACCAGCAGGGACCGGTGGGCACAGACCTCCCCTCCCCAGCCTGCGACTGCCTCAGAGTGTGGCTGCCGTCCGCCTACAGCAGCCCTCCCCCGGGGCACCCGTCGGCCGGCCGCACGGGCCGCCAGCGTCGCCAGTGCGCCGGCGCGCCACTCACGTCTCCAGGTCGGGCCGTGTCAGCTGGCGCACGCGCTGCAGCAGCGCCGTCTTGACGCCGTTGACGGCTGGCGGCTGCGGCTGCGGCTGCGGCTCGCCCAGCCGACGCCGCTCGCGCTCGTTCGACTCCTGCCGGGACCGCCGGCGGGCGGGGGCGCTGTCAGCCAGCGGCGCCGCGCGCGGAGCCGGGCCAGCGCCGGTGTACCGGTGGTGGACGGCCCACGGACAACAGCCGCGCATTGTTGCAGTGTGGTGTCACACCGATGAGCCCGGGCAAACATTGCTCGTCGGCACGTGCAATTAATAGATTCTATGTGGCGGTCACATCATTGCTAACAAATATAATTTACACGGCCCTGAAATATGCCAAATAGCCCGGCACAGTGACAGCTCAGGAGGAAAACGAAAGTGAACCAAAGCAGCGTTGGCAAAGCCCACTGGAAACAGTCGGTAGCTAGCGGCATGACGCCCGGCAACTAGCAAACTTCCGCCCATCCTTGCCAGATGCTATGCTCTTGCGTGCCCCACCACTCCTGTGCGGCATGCCCAGCCATCCCAGCTTTCTTCCGATCACACACCCACCACCAGCCAGCCAGCCAGCCAGCCAACCAACCTGCAGTAGGCGCATGTTGTCCTCGCTCAGTTTGACCTTCTTGACCTCGATGAAGTTCTTGGTGCGGGTCGCAGCGGCCGTAGACGGCTCCACCCGGCGCACCTTGCTGGCGTCGGGCGCCGCGTCCGATGGCGAGCAAGGCCGCTTACGACCGCCGCGGCGGGCGGGTCGTCCGTATCGTCCGCCGCCGGGTCCGGACCGTCGGCATCGCCCGGATCGTCGGGGTCCGGCCCGGCCGAGTCGTCGGGCTCGGCCGGCTCGCCGGAGAGCGCTTCGCTGGGCTCCTCCTCAGGGTCCGTCTGAACGGCTACTTCACCGGAGGCTGGGCTCGGCTCGCCCGCCTCGTCTGCCTCGCAGCCGGCGTCCAGCGAGTCGGCCGCCACCTGCAGGTATGACGCGTCCATCGAGTCGGACGCCTCGCCGGCGTCGCAAGCGTCCATGGAATCCGTCGCCTCGCCGGCGTCGCACGCGTCCATGGAATCCGCCGCCTCGCCCATCTCGCTGGCGTCCAGCGAGTCGGCCGCCTCGAGGCAGGCGAGCGCACGCTGCTTGGACTCGCGCCTCTCGCGTTCCTCCTCCTCCTCGGCCGCGTTGAGGGCGGCAGCACTCTCAAACATGTCGTCGGGCAAGTCCACCGGGTCGGCGGCGCCCGCCGCATCGTCGGCAGAGGCGGGCGAGGCTGGCTCGGACGCGGCCGACACCGGCGCCGGAGGCGAGGACCGCTTGGCGGCTGTAGACAGAGCTCCTCAACGTCAGGATGGAGTCGCGGCGCAGGCGTATCAGCGCATGGCAACCAGCTACATCATGTTATTCATCGGATCTGGTATCAGATGGTTAAGTTTTACACTAGAAAAAACACGAAATTTACGAATAAAACCTTCATGCCACCCATTCAAACAGCAGAAAACAAAGTGCTCGAAAGCACTCAGACCCCTGAAATACCCGCCTCTACATTGGTTTGACCACACAGCATTGTAATGAGTAATACGTATTGTCATAAGTTATAGTAATAAGAAAAGAAAGACCATCAAAATCAGTGCACACAAAACAAACACAAAGTAAACAAGTTGGTACAAAGTCACTAGCCTGACACGGGAGAACTCACCAGCGCACGAGAACCGGTCACTAGCCTGACACAGGAGAACCCACTAGCGCACGAGAACCGGTCACTAGCCTGACACAGGAGGACTCACTAGCGCACGGGAACCGTATCATCATGCCATCGCCAACTCCAACACAGCGACTGAAGGTGGGCTGGCGGGGGTGGGTGCCGCCTCCGCCGCGGCCGGTGCCACCTACCGGGCTCGTCGCGCAGCAGGCGATCCTCGTCCTCGGACAGTCCGCCATCCGGTTCAGCGCCGTCCGACTCGGACAGCCGCAGCACCACGTCCTCCTCCGAGCTGGCGGGCGCTGCCGTCGTCGCCGCCTCGAGCTGGCTCTCGGCGCCGCCCGACGATGGCGACGGCGCCGCGCGCTCGCCGCCGTCGCCGTTCGCCGTCATCGGCGACGGCGGCGCACCCGCGCCTATCTCGGCGCTTCCGCACGGCGGCGGCTTGGCGACGTCGCGCGCGCCGCTGGCGCCATCCTTGATCGCCGGCGGCAGTGCGTCGGC